GTGCCTGTGGGGAGGAAAAATCTGTTACCTTACTCCCATCTGCCATGCCTGTCTCCCTTATCTGAGCCAGTGGGCCAAGCACACAGGTATAAGCCTCTGTGCTTTTTGTTTCTAGCTGTTGTAGGCGGGGCCTCCCTCTGACTGGCCTGACACCAGCGCAGTGACTGCTGGTTTGCAAGCTGGTGCCGTCATTCCAGGAGGAAGGCTTGGCAGGCTGCATAACACAGTGGGGGGGCCTCAGAGCTGAGTAGCCAGCCAGGAGGATGGTGCACCTGAAGCTCCTCAAAGTTCCCAATCTGCTGGGAAGAGTGCGCCCAAACAACCTTGTCTCCCTATCGCTTCTCCCACGCAGCAAGCTCTGTGCAAACCCTGCCCCTTCAGCAGCCCTCTCGCTGCTAGGAAGCCTCTCAGTCAGCCTACCTTTCCCTTGTCCCAGAGCGGCTGGGTGTGTATCCCTCATACAGAAACAGCCAAAATCTGTCTCCCAGGGTGTGTTCTTGTTTTTTAATGTCTGAGGCATCTATTAGAACTTTATCAAGTTAGATAAGTATAGGTGTTCCCTGGGATCAGTAATATTTTCTTTATGTTTTTAATGCCTTTGTTTCAGTGGTACTAGTGGCTTCTCATTGTACTTGGGATAAAATCCATAATCTGTGACAGTATCTGTAAGCTGGCTTATATGATCTGGCTACCACTGCAGACTCATCTTGTGCCATGCCAGCCCCTGGCTTCTATCCTCTTCCTTAACCAAGTGAGCATTTTTCCCCCCTGTGTGCACGTGATACTCTTTCTGACTGAAAAGTTATTGATCCCATTCTTTTCATCCAGCCAACTCCTTCATGCCTCAACTACAGTTGGTTTTTTTTCTTTTTTAAAACTTAGTATTTTATATTGAGGTACATACAATAAAATGTACAAATCTTAGTGTACAGCTTGATGAATTTTGATATGTGTATACTTTAAATTTACTTCCTGAGAGAAGCTTTCCCTACCCTGTCCATCTAAATATGCTCTTTCCCCTGTCTACAGTTGATCTAACCCTGCACATATACAATTTGTTGATTTTATGTCATTTATGAGATTATGGTTTTTTTCCTCTGTGTACTTCCTGAAGGCAGCTGTACTTTATAGTGTTTTGTTGATCACACTGTAACACTGGTACCCTGCACATATAGGCACCCAATAAACATTTATTTAATGAATGAATTCTAAAGAAACAACAACACTTCATTGACTTTCTTGGCCCCTGTGAAAATTAGACCATTGTCTTCAGGAATACAATACAGTGATCTCTTAGGCCCCTTACTTACTGAATATTGTATGTATCATTTATGCTTCAGTTTTTCTCTAAATCAGTTTCTTTCTATATCCATTTCGAAATTTGTTGAAATTTTCATTTTCAGTGAGTTCGTATGACAGTGTGAAGTTCTTATTGTCTTTCCATGTCAGAAGAGTAACACATATAAACTTGGAGGTTTCAGTATATAGTCTCACTTCCATTTTATTTATAAAATTGCTGGGAAAATCCAGATACCAGTTCCTTTTCCTGAGAAGTATGTTTTCACCTTTCTTCATTCAAAGAGCCAGTTTATCAAATTAACAGTTATGTGTTAAGAATAGCTTTACATTAGGTCTTATGAGAAGTATATAAAGAAATTAATTGTTACTTTTCAGGAACTCATAGTATTTAAGGAAGATTAATAAATTGGTAGGATGTTGGATGTGAGGGAGTTTCATTAGTTCATGACTACAGTGTAAAAAACCTGAACTTACGTGATTAAAATGGAAGTGTAAAAGTAGAGAGCAAATATGAAGGAGACTGTAAAAACAATTAATGGGGCTTCATTCTGTGTAAGTTGAAGCTGCAGAATTCGAATATATAAAGTAAAAATCTCAAGTTGTGAGAGTAGAAGAATGATAGTATCATCAAAGAAAGAAGTATTGGAACATGCAAGTTTTGTAGTTAACACATTCTGAATTTGAGATTACAGTAGGGCATTCTGTGACAGTGACCACTGTGCACTTAGATGTGCAAGATTGGAACTGGGGAGAGGGATTAGAGAGAAGTAATTGTCTGCACTGATGTAATGGAAAAGCCATGGGGATAGATAAGCACTACAAGATAAATGTAGTGAAAGGATCGTAGAGGACTGAGTTTTACACCACAGGAAATACCTGCATTCAGGCTGTGAAACAGAAAAAGGGAGCTATTGAAAGAGATGTAGAAAGAGTAGTTGGAGAGGTAAGAACAGAACCAGGAAACTCATTAAAGCGAACGCCAAGAATGAGCAGAGGGAAGCAGACCCTGCCCAGAAAGAGGTGGCCTCTAGAGCCAAATATTGTAGAAAATTCTAAGAAAATGCAAACAGGTAAAGAAAGGGCCACTGACTTCAAAGTCTTAATGACTTGCAATAGTTCAGTAGAATGTAGAAGACAAGAACCAGGTTTCAGGAGCTTTAGGCAGTGTGTGTAGTGGAGTCATCCAAGGCAGGAAGAATAATCAATTATTAAGAAGTCCCACAGCATATAAAGAACTCACATGCCTCAACACCCAAAAAGCAAATAACCCTATTAAAAAATGGGTGGAGGATATGAACAGACAATTCTCCAAGGAAGGAATTCAGATGGCCAACATGCACATGAAAAGATGCTCCGTATCACTAATTATCAGGGAAATGCAAATTAAAACCACAATGAGATATCACCTCACGCCAGATAGGATGGCCGACATAGAAAAGAATAGGAACAACAAATGCTGGTGAGGATGTGGAGAAAGGGGAACCCTCCTACACTGCTGGTGGGAATGTAAGCTAGTTCAACCATTGTGGAAAGCAGTATGGAGGTTCCTCAAAAGACTCAAAATAGAAATACCATTTGACTCATGAATTCCACTTCTAGGAATTTATCCTAAGAATGCAGCAGCCCAGTTTGAAAAATACATATGCACCCCTATATTTATCACAGCACTATTTACAATAGCCAAGAAATGGAAGCAACCTAAGTGTCCATCAGCAGATGAATGGATAAAGAAGATGTGGTACATATACACAATGGAATATTATTCATCCATAAGAAGAAAACAAATCCTACCATTTGCAACAACATAGATGGAGGTAGAGGGTATTGTGCTCAGTGAAATAAGCCAGGCGGAGAAAGACAAGTATCAAATGACTTCACTCAACTGTGGAGTATACGAACCAAAAAAAAAAAAAACTGAAGGAACAAAACACAGCCGACTCACAGAACCCAAGAATGGACTAACAGTTGCCAAAGGGAAAGAGACTGGGGTGGGGGTAAGGGAGGGAGAAGGGGAATAAGGGGCATTATGATTAGCACACATAATGTAGAAGGGTGCACAGGGAAGGCAGTATAGCACAGAGATGACAAGTAGTGACTCTGTAGCATCTTACTATGCTGATGAACAGTGACTGTAATGGGGTATGTGGTAGGGACTTGATAATGGGGGGAATCTGGTAACCACAGTGTTGCTCATGTAATTGTATATTATTGACACCAAAAAAAAAAAAAAAGAAGAAGTCCCACAGCAAAAGAAAAGAGAAACAGAATGTTAACAAGGTTTCCAGTAGGTTATGTTAAGGTTTGTTTGTTTTCTTAATGAAATAAATTACCAGCAACTATCTGTAAGGAGTCAATGGACAGGGCGAGATTAAAGAAACATGGGCTGGGATGGACATAGGAATGAATAATTGAAGTGGCAACCGGAGAGTTGGGAAGACACAGGGGTATAATCACTTTGAGACTTCATAGTCTAGAAATGAGCTGTTGTGAGAAGGAGCTTTGTAAACTGGAGCACGCTGTATTAATATAATCAGTTTTGTCTATCAGAAAAAGGATGGTTGTAGCAGAAATCATGCTGAACTGCAAATCTGGAGACCCATGTTCTTGTCTTGGCCTGGCTATGTGGAGTTGTGATATCTTGGAAAGGGCATTTTGTGTTTTCTTCTGTAGACTCAGTGCTCTCTTCTTAAGTCTGAGGTAGTCACACTATACTGTTTCAGAGCAAAAAATCTAGGTTTGAAATTTTCTGTTTCAGCAATACACGAGTAAATGAAGAAAAGTGAATGTATAGACATATGTATTTGGGCATAGGGAGAGGGAAGATGAGGAAGTTTAGCTCCCATAGCCTTAATGGAGGCCAGCTGCTACTATTGGAGAGGTAGAATTGGAGAATATAAATAATTTATTTATATCCATTTTTTTTTTAGTAATTACTTGGCATTCTACCATGTTTCATTATTCCAAGCAATAGGTGATGCAGTAGAAAGAGTTCAGAGGTCTGAGTTTGAGTTACAACCACACTACTTATAGGTTTTCTGTGTGGTTGAAGTTGGTCATATAATCACTTTGAGACTTCATAGTCTAGAAACGAGCTATTGTGAGAAAGAGCTTTGTAAACTGGAGCATGCTGTATTAATATAATCAGTTTTTGTCTATCAGAAATGTCCCTTCTGATCCCATAATAAGTAGCAGAAGAAGTAGTAGTGATAATGGTACTACTAGTAGCTGACTTTATATGGGGCTTGTTGCATGTGGGGCACTATCTAAAAGCACATGCCATTTAACCCTTGTAATAATCCTATGAAGTAAGTAATGCTAGTATTATTCCCATATCAGAGATAACGAAACTGAGGCATAGAGATAGTAATATACCCGAGACCAGACAGCTGGTGTGTGAAGGAGCCAGAATGCACATCTAGGCAGTTTTACTTCTGAGACCATGCTCATGAGTGTGGTAATATAACTTTGCCTCAGTTAATTAAGATAAACGGGCTTAATTTAAATTGCCATCAGTTTCAATGAATTTTTAATAGCAAGATTAATTGAATTAAGAAATAGCAACTCAATTTAATGGCAAATATGGTCATACTGGAGTAGTAAACCAATACAATTCTATCTTAAAAGCATATTTTGCTTAAATAAAAACTGTTAGTTGACAGTTTTCATTAAATCTCAAGAGAGTTTGACTTTTATTTTTTCAGGAACACAAAGAGGGTCAGCTTACATCCATGCCCCGAGAGGTTTGCAGATCATTTGTGAAAATTATAGCAGAAGTCCTTGGATCACCTCCAGACTTGGAATTATTGGCAATTATCTTCAATTTCCTTTTAGCAGTTCACCCTCCTACTAATACTTATGTTTGTCACAACCCCACAAACTTCTACTTTTCTTTGCACATAGGTAGGTATAATCATTTTTGTTAGATCTTGGCTATTTCCATTTTCATTTTTTCTTCCCACTTGATCCACATTTGATATTCATTGAATGACTTCTGTGCTAGAAACTGCCCTAAATTGGGACAGGGCAAAGGGCTATAAAATGAACCAGACATGGTTAAATGACAAGCAGAGACAGGAGACATCTACTGAAATACAGTAAGAAGCACTATTTGGTAAGTACCTAATAGATGTAATAGAAGAACTAATTGGATTTCAGAGGAATGAGGGGTCCATAAGAAAGTTGTGGAGAAAGGAGATTTAATAGATTATATATCTGACATAGGCATTGAAGAATTTAGGTACAGTATGTTAGGTAGACTGGATAATTAGCATTCTAGGTAAAGATATTGAGTTTTAAAGGGTGGAAAAATAGAAAGAGAAAATAAAGAACAGTGAATTTTACCTAAGTATAGGGATTGATAAAGGAGTAGTAAGAAATAATACCATAAATATCATTTTGGACCATCATTTATTTACATTTTCTCCCAAGGTCATATTAAATGGACCCTTAAATGTAAGGCCAGAGAATTTGAACTTGTATTCTGGTTAGGGGTCATTGAGGTCATTAAGGGTTTTGTTTTCTCATGTGTGTTTGTTTTGAGCAAAGGGATATGAGGTAAGTAAATTATTGCAGTAAAATTCAGGAAAGAGAAACCACCTATAGAGAAGGGAGCTGAAGCTCTTAGAATGGATGAAACTACTAAAGAAATGTGCAGAAAGAAGTAAAAAAGAAGCTCGGGATAGAACTATAAGGAAGAGTAACCAGTGTAAGGACAAGATGGTATAGTCAGAGTTTTAACAGAGTTAAGAAAACGTAATGTGGTAAGAAAGCAAGTAGGAATGTACCTGTGAGAAAGCTAGATAGTAAATTTAGAGAGGAAAACTGGTTGTGAAATAGCCATTTTAAGGAATGTATTATATGAATAAAATGATTCAGCAGCAGTAAAAATCCAAATGAAGACAGCATGACTTTGTATTGGGTTCAGTACATGTATAGTGAATAAAATTCTGTCAAGATTCTGGGAGCAGGGTAGTTGCAAAGATAAGTAAATTATGGTCTCCTACCTTAAGGGAGCTTACAGCCTGATGGAGGGGAGAGCAACACAGACAGATAATTACACTGTTTGGAAAAGCACAGTGATATAAATGTTTCATTTTCTGGTAGCATAGAGCACGGTGAGGGGATGTTTCCCAGGATACTGCCTGCTCTAAGTCTTAAAGGTTGAATAACAGTGAAGGGAAGGGCATTCCAGGTGGAGCAAAAGCTTAATGAGATGCTGTGTGCAATGGGTTGTTGTAATGTTAAAAAAAAAAATGCTGAAAAGGGAAATGCAGACAGATCATGGAGATTCTTGCAGACAAGAAGCTTGGGCTTTAGTATCTAGAGTGGTAAAAAAGCAACAGAGAGCCACTGGAAGATTTTAAGCAAGATTGACATTTGTAGAGTTCTGGTAACTATGAGGATTTGAGGGTGACCAGGTGCCCATCATGGATACTATTTAGAAGTCTGTGACAATCATCCAGGTGAGAGTGGTAAAAGCCTGCATTGTAGCACTATGCTAGGGATGAGAAGAGTTCAAGAAACAGGAAATTAAGTTAGTGGAACCTGGAGGCTGACTTAGTATGGATAAAGTAAAGGCAGGGTCAAGGGTGGCTTCAGGTTTCTACATGGGAAATGGATGCTTCTACCACATGAACCAGAGAACAAAACAGGAGGGGTGAATTTAGGGCAGAAAGATGATTCAGATTTTTGTTGCATTTGTGGTGCACTTACGAAATCAAGCAGTTAAATTTGCAAGTATGAAGCTCAGAAAAAAAGAAGCTGGAAATAGCAATTTTGGATTTATATTGGACATTGAAGGGGATATGTAAAAGTAGAAGACCCAGTCCTTTCCTCAAGGAATAAAGAGATGAGCAGTCTCCTTGAAGAGCTCATATTAACATATAAAAAAGTATACAGTTAGCTATTAAACTCTAGAAATAACTGCAATTGGAATAAAAAGAAAATAGAAGTTAATGTGGCTAGTAATAGTCACGAAAAATCAAATGTACATTAGTATAAAATATGCCATATGTTTTCACTTTGAACATCTTCGTAAAAATTTGTATTTAATTATTTGCTTTTAAAGTTATATTCTTGTTTTATCCTGTTTAAAAATTTTACTGTTTCAATTTTTATTCTAGATGGCAAGATCTTTCAGGAGAAAGTACAGTCAATCATGTACCTGAGGCATTCCAGCAGTGGAGGAAAATCTGTTACTAGCCCTGGATTTGTGGTAATAAGCCCATCTGATTTTACTGCTTCACCACCTGAAGGTAAAAATAACAGTAATGAAAATATAATCCTTCCTCATTTAGTTCTGAACATTGACAGATAAATAAACTATACATGTTTTAGCAGTATAATATAACTTGATGGACTAAATAAATGGAAGGTTAAATTTAAAAATTATAGAATGTATTTAAGGAATTCATTTCACTAGTTTCTTCTGTCAGTAACACACACTCAACATAGCAAGGAATACTCAGGAAACTTAAGATACAAATGAGGTTTATGCTGTTCTGCTCTGAAATTCTGTCCCCTCTTATCATAGTCATTTGTCTTTCATTAAGCTTCTGATTTATTTTCCCATTTTCCTCAAAAGCTTTGCATAACTTACTCTCTCCTTTCTACCTAAACTTATCATTCTAGACAACTTCACTTGCTGTGTGAATGACCATCCAACAGTACAGTCTCACGTTCCTTGACACTGGGGATCTTTCCCTCTACTTTATCTTCCAATATGCATGCATCTGTCTTGGACTTTGTCATCATTAAGAATGCTTCCCACCTCTGAAACTGTAGTAATAACCTATCTTCTGGCTTCTCTATCTCCATCCCAAGTTCCCTTCTGCCTGTTATCCCCATCCAGCCTAGGTCCCATTAGCCAATAGTTTCCTTAACACTATCTTCAATTTCCTTGTCCCTTTGGCCTTCTGGCATTCTTGACCTCAAAAACCCTAATCTTGCCTCAGTCTATCTTCATGCTGCTGAAAGCTGCTAGAGAAGGTTATCTCTGAGAATTCCTACAGTTACAAGGATCTCAATTGTAGTAGGCCTTTTAATGCTGCCCTGTAGTTTTTCTTTATGTAAAGAATCAATTCCCTCTACTATTTCCCTCACAAGTATATATTCAAGTCTTTAAGCTTACAATATTTTTCTGTCTTCCTAGTTTACTCTTAACAGACTACCTCATCTCTACTTTTATAGAGAAAGAATAGGTACATGTCTTCTAGTTGTGTGAACTGATTGGACACCTCTTTCTTTCCTGACCACTGTCCTCTTCCATACTGAGACATTGCTTTCATTGTCAGTCCAGCCTACTTTTATCTCTAGCTCCAATGCGTATTATTGAACAGTGGCAGGTAAAATAGAGATATGGATGGGCAGGATGTGTTTCAGCACATTTTAAGGCTGTGTTCTATTAGTTTTATTTGGAATTTTATAGGAAATGTCTGTTTTAAAATCATTGTGCATCGCTCTGTAACACTTTTAAATACAGTCATGCTTCCATTTTTTCCAGGTCTTTTGAGCAGAATCTCTTGGCAGACTTAGCCCTTCAGCCAAAATCAAGAAATTGCTAAGAAAAGCTTCTGAGCTAAGGAGCTGTTTTATTGCCACAAAGCCTATGCTCTACAGCAGTTCATTCAGTGCCTATTTACTCTGTATCAGTGCTTTTCAAGTTCTAGCATGTAAAAAACAATCCCCTGGAGAGCTTGTTAAAACACAGATCCCCGGGTCCTCCTTCATGCATTCTGATTCAGTAGATATAGAGTGGAGCCTGAAAATATACATTTCTAACAGTCACACAGGTGGTGTTGATCCCCATTCTGCTGGTATCCCACACCTTGCGTAGCTTTCAGTTATATCCCATGCACTTAGAATGAGAATGATTTTTCTGGCCTCCTCTTACAAAGATATTAAAAGCAGCAAATTGGAGATCTATGGCAAGAAGAAGAAAAAACTATTCCTTCTTACTAGACATGCCTACAGAAGTGAAGGAGAAAGAGAACAGGCTAGGGCCATTTGGCCTAATAATAATAATTACAACTATTACTACTGTTCATTAAGCCCCTATTATGTGCCAGACACTATGCTGGAAGCATCACAAATATGATCTCACTTAATCCTTAAGCAACCTTGCCAAGTCTATATTCTGATCCTCAGTTTACATTTGCAGCAACTGACACTCATATAATTAAATAATTTACCTAAAGCCACCTAACAGTTGGATCCAGTAGTACTGGTGGCAAAGCCCACACTCTTTCCATTGTATCAAACTGCATCCTAGTGACTGCTAGCCTGGGGCAAGTTAAGTTTCCCTTAATTCATTTAATTTCACTATAGTAGAACAGTTAATCCTGATGACTTTGATTCATTCAGTCAATATTGTATTTTGTTAAGCAGACAGGAAAAAACACCTGGAAGATTTTAATAAAAAGTAGTTGAAAGAAAAACAGTTTGGGCAAGTTAAGAATTTTAAACATTAGTACTAGGAACATTAACCTATATGGATTCTTTAAGATTGCTAGATAAATGGGTTATTGCTGTGGTTGTGTCTGGTAGTCCAGAAAAGAAGTGGTCCCACTTAATAGGTTTTTAAATAACATTTTTCTGTCTACTCTTACCAGGAAACAATTCCTCCAATATTATTCCACAACAGATGACTGCCAACATGTTGCGCTCTAGAAGTCTACCAGCATTTCCTACTTCTTCATCTCTAATACAACCACAAAAACTGACTGGAAGTTTGGGTTGTAGTATTGACAGGTTACAAAATATTGCAGATAATGATGTCACTTCCCAACCAGAGAAACTGAATTCTCTGGAGAGTTCTGAGACGCTGAAAAAAAGCAAAGAAGATGACTTCATCAGTAGCTGTGAGTCTGCAAAAACTGTTTGTGAAATGGAAGCTGTACTTTCAGCCCAAGCCACTGTCCCTGGTGTTTCAAAGGGAACAGTGGGATTTCCAGTGGTCAGAATAGATCATAAAGACTTGGGAGCAGAACCCAGATCAAATGGTGACAGTCCTGGGGATGAGTCCTGCCCACGTCGACCTGATTACCTAAAGGGACTGGCCTCATTCCAGCAAAGCCACAGCACTATTGCAAGCCTAGGGCTAGCTTTTCCCTCCCAGAATGGATCTGCAGCTCTTGGCCATTGGCCAAGTCTTATTGACAAGAACACTGATGATTGGGAAAACCTTGCCTTTTCTCTCACCTATGAGCCAAACTACAACCTAACTACCAATGCTAACAGGTACTCACATGTTTTTGTTGACCCTCCCTACCTCATTTTCCTATTCTTTGAAGAGTATCTACACTTGTAGAAACATCTTCATTATTGTCATGTCTTAGAAGACAACATACATACTAATAACAAACAGTAAGATGTCTTTTCCCTTAATCTAGATAATATTGATATTCCATATTTAACTGAAGACTAAGTCATGCATAGCTCTCAAAGAAAAAAAATATCTTGTGGTTTATTTAATTCCTATGGTTATTAGAACAACTCTTCAAGGAAATTATAAGATTTATCATTCTTTCTGAAAGTATCACCTGTCCAATTAAACATTCTGTGATAATGGAAGTGCTTTACCTGTGCTTTCCAATGTAGTAGACACCAGTTACATATGCCCATTGAGCACTTGGAGTGTGGCCAGTGCAACTGAAGAGCTGACTAAATGACACAGCTGGCAAGTGACTACCATACTGAACATCATAGATGTAGCATAGAATAGTATTTAGTAGACTATATGCCTAAAAAATATTGGTGTTAAAAAGTGATTGCAAATCTGTTAATCATAGTGAAATGAGAAAACTGTTTTTAAACTTTATGAACTTTAGTTTCACATGTTTAAATTATTACTACTCATCACAGTCCTTAAGGTAATCATCATGTACTTTTCTCCCTAATACTGTTCAGTTAAGACTTTTTGGGTCTCTGTTTTAGTGTAACTGAAGACTGCTTGGTGCCTATCTGCTGTGGACTATATGAACTCTTAAGTGGAGTTCTTCTGGTCCTGCCTGACATCATGCTTGGAGATGTACTGGAGCTTATTCAAGCAGACACGCTTTTAGTGCTTGTTAACCATCCATCACCTGCTATACAACAAGGCGTTATTAAAGTAAGGACAAATACTAGATGTGTTAATTCAGAAAAATTAATATACGTAATTTAAATTTTGAACATATATGATAAAGTAGACCTAAAGCTTTATTTTATACTTAGGAGTAATAGACTGACAAAGTTTGTTACTTCTTTTTTTTTTTTAATTAATTAATTTTTATTTTTTTGAAGAACATTATGTTTACTAGGCTCTCCCCTACCCCAAGTTCCCCCCTACAAACCCCATTACAGTCACTGTCCGTCAGCAGAGTAAGATGTTATAGAATCACTACTTGTCTTCTGTGTTGCAAAGCCCCCCCCCTTTACCCCACCCCCCACATTATACATGCTAATCATAATACCTCCTTTCTTCTTCCCTGCCCTTATCCCTCCCAACACTCCCATTCTCCCCAGTCCCTTTCCCTTTGGTACCTGTTAGTCCATTCTTGTGTTCTGTGATTCTGCTGCTGTTTTGTTCCTTCAGTTTTTTCTTTGTTCTTATACTCCACATATGAGTGAAATCATTTGGTATTTGTTTTTCTCCGCTTAGCTTATTTCACTGAGTATAATACCCTCTACCTCCATCCACGTTTTTGCAAATGGTAGGATTTGTTTTCTTCTTATGGCTGAATAATATTCCATTGTGTATATGTACCACATCTTATTTATCCATTCATCTACTGATGGACACTTAGTTTGCTTCCATTTCTTGGCTGTTGTAAATAGTGCTGCGATAAACTAGGGGTGCATCTGTCTTTTTCAAACTGGAGTGCTGCATTTTTAGGATAAATTCCTAGAAGTGGAAT